CGCGACCCCGCGCGTGCGCCCCCGCGGCGAGGCTGGTCCCGCAGCCCGCGTGCGGTTTCCCGTCGGTGTCGCTGTGGCTGCACCCGCATCAGGCAGCCTGGGCACAGAATATTTTTGGAATCTCGTCCAGGGACAGTTGGCCGACCTCACAGGAAAATCATTCATTGCTTGTCCCCACCTTTTCGGCTCGAACCACCGTGTTCCAGCCCCACCCACCCGCACCGCGCACCAGACCGCGCGGCCTGGCTTCGGCCTGGTGTCACCCTGGGAAGGTGCTTTGGGGAAAGGGGCATCCTGGGCACCGCGGGCCTGCCGATGGGCGTGAGCACAGCATCTGCCAAGCGGCCGCGCCGAAAGCCGACCCGATCAGATAAGCCCCGAGACGCCACCGCCGGTGTGCAGGAAAGAGCAGGGGCATGTGCCAAGTGATACCGCGGACAGACAGCCGGCCGTGGGCCGTGGGAAACCACCTGGCAAACAGAGTCTTTACCAAATAAATTCCAAAGGGAGAAAAGAGGCTAAGCACCAGACCTGTCGATTAAAAAAGATTGGGAAATGCATTGAGCCATGCACTTGCGATTCGTAGGCTTTTTTCTTTATGTTAAAAATTTTAAAGAAAAACAGACCCGAGACATAAGCCAATTGCAACGTGAACTTTATTCCCACCTTGATTTTAAATAAAATAGTAAAAAAATAAATTTAAAAAAATTATGGAATAGGAAAGTTAAAATGCAATTTGATCGTATAATGATGTTAAGAAATTATTGTTAATTTTTAGGTGGGATAATGGGATTATGGCTAATATTTTTTTAAAGACGCTTTATCTTTTGGGATAGCTGGAATATTTCTGAGTGAAAAAATGTGATCTCTGGGATTAGCTTAAAAGCAATCCAGATGGAAAAAGGAAGTATTAAGGGCCTGGATGAAATAAGATTTGTCTGAAGTTGATAACTGCAAAGTATTATTCTGTCCACTTTTGTATCTGTTTGAAATGACCCATGATAAAAAGTTCTTCACAAAAAGATGATTTGTCACCACTGAGGATGGGAAATCAAGACGTAATTACAAAAGAGGTTTTCAAATGTGTCTCAAGCAATAGCTGCATCATTAAGATACGTGAGCAGAGTCCCAAGGTAGGTAATTTGAAGGAAACAACACTTGTTTAGATATAAAAGTTATGATGTGTTTGAGTGTTTTTAAAACTGTTTTATCAGGCAGGTGTCCAAAGTCTACAAGACACTACTGAGCACCATACAGCACAAACAGAGCTCTTAGCATGTGTCAGACACTGTGTGAGGCAGAAAAATGAGCATGGTATGGGGGGTGGAAGGGGAGGAAGAGTGTACTGGGCCAGGTTTGGCTGCCAGAAGCCCAAAGTAAAAGTGCCATCACAAAACGGAGATATATGCCCCTCTCGTGTGGATAAAGTCCGGGGCTGGTACGGTGACTCCATGATCACAGTCAACTGCCAACTTCCCCAAAAGACCACCAGAAAAACCTGCCAATGACCCAAAGCTCGGGTGATTAACCCAGCTGCAGCAGAGAGAGCACAGCCTTGACCAGAGTCAGCCTGAAGACACTCCCGGTGGTCGGAAGGGGGAGGTCGAGAGGGGGTGTGGGGGGGTCTCAGCTCTAGTGTTCAAGGCGGGTCTCAAGGCTGGGATCTAAGAAGGACCAGGCCAAGTTTGTGATGTAGCAGTTTAGGCCGGGTGGACATCTCATCATCAGGGACAGAGATGCCTTCTGTCCAGCCGCTTAGCCATTCCCACAACGTATCTCCTACTTCCAGGCAGCCAGTCTGTCCCGCTGGGGAAGGGACGGCTTTCTCATTTGGTGCTAAAGGGTAAAAGCCAGTCTCGCAAGACACAGCACGTTCCCCTGACATGGGCCCTGTGGCAAAGTTTCCAGCTGCAAAAGTACCGAAAATGTAGGTGACCGGACAGGCACAGTGTCCTCACTGAGCTCTGGCAGTTACCCAGTGGCCTGAGGTAGGACCCATTCATCATTCCCAGCCTGGGAAACATCCGGCCAAGAAGCCCGATCTGCAAACGTTACCATCCAGGCTTACATATTTCTAAAATATTCCATTTCAGTCTGGAGAGGCCAAGCTCCCCGTATCTTATTTGGTTTCCCTGCCTGAAAGTCTTCCCTCTTGCAGGGCCCTTTGCACCCTGCTGGTGGGGTTCTCTTTCAAAAACACAAACACAAACTCGCTCCTTTGCCTGAAAACTACGCTGACGGTGAAAATCAGTGGAAGCTTCCAAGCCCGCCACCTGAGGGCTTCTTTAACTCTCCTTCCCAGCTTTCCTCTGTCTAGGATGATTTTATTTTCATCTCCACTTTGTCCGTTCACTTATTTGTTCCCTTGTTAGCTCAGCACACATTTACGTAGCCCCTCCGTTGAAGTAGACACCATATCAAGCCAGGAGTGCAGGGAGATAAGCTGTATAACGTAGATTTTCCTCCAGGTGCTCAGCCCACCGCACAGGTCGGTAAACAGTGAAAACGCAGCCTGTGAAGTTCGTGCCCTGCCCCCAGTCTTTCCTCACCGCCTCTTTCCAC